TGCTAATCTCCTTCCGTTGATTCAAATTTCCATTAGCGTTACCCGCAGAGGAGGGTCGATTCTCGTCCTTCGGAATGGCTGTGGTCGGTACATTGTGATAAATGGGAATAGTAGACGATACTGTAGGTGCCCTCGGTTTGATCTGCGCTGGCTGTGGCGGAATCGACAGCGGAAACGGTTGCGGTCGTTGCGATCGTGGTTTCTGTTGTGCATAGATACTGTCCATACCGTAATAGGGATTTGCAGACGGATTCCAGTAGTAGGTCACGCCCTGCTGATCCTTCGCTTTTTGCCAGTAGTCAAGATTGTTTTTTGGAACGAGTGGATTACGGAATGGAGCCGCCGTTGAGTTCTGTTTGAAACCATTCATGTTTGGGGTTCGTCTACGTCCATCCATAGAATCAGCGAAAGTCATCGACTGTACGGTAGTGGAAGTAGATCAGCTGCGATCGACTGTAGATCGCGGAGAGCGTGACCTCCGTCGTCGCGCCGCAATCCGGCGCTGCTCCGGAAGTAAACTGGCTGAGCAAACAGATCAACCGGTAGTCGTCGATGCGTGAGTGTGGCGCGAGAGCAGCACAACGATGGCAGCGACACGGCCGTGGATCGATGGCGATCGATTATCGATTCGCCAACATGCTAGCGGAAACGATGTGCAACGGAAGGCGATTTTCTGGAACGTGATGGGTCGAGCGTTGGTTGATAGCAACAAATGTGCGGATCGAGCGAGGCGACGGACGCAAAACAGAGCCAGCTGACGAGCATCGAGTGCATGATTCTACGAGAGGCTCGGCGACTTCGCGGCACTGCCGAAAACAGCTGGCAATGCCGCGAACTTGCCAGTTCCAAGATACGCAACGCATGAGTTATAGCCCGCATGTGCGTTAGCACTGCAGCAACGTATGTCGAAAGATAAATGGTGAGAACAAGAGCAGCACATAAACATGAACAGTGCATGATCATAATGAAAGAGATCGCCGCATGCGCATGAGACTCTTATCTGTCACATGGAATTTTTTACACACTTCAAACCAGTAAACTATCGAACGCATTATAAGTTGAAATACGCAGAAAAGGGTATTGCGAAATTAATTCTAACTAAACGCTTGCGCTTCTGCTGTATTGAAAGGATCGGCTAATTTTATACAAAAGGATATTCTTTCCTTGAAATTCTTACTATAAGCCGCTAAGAAAGTATTCTGCTTATAATGACTCGTAGTTTCAATAAGGAATCAGACTGATACATTTCTTGCTGCAACGAGAAAAGAATGAACATGGCATGATTCAACACCACATAGACACTCGCTTCATAGGTTAACACCAAGACCAGACCGGAAACAATAACAGAGCATGGAGCAGCCTCATTTAAATGTTTTGTTGTTGATCTTACGTAAAAGTAGCTGGATTTTGCGAAATTTTCATGTGTGGGCTATCAAATGCAATGTTTGAACAAATACAAGAAAGGAGGGAAAGGAGGAGCTCAGCTTTGAAAACAACCAAAGATGATGAAAAAGAAGGGACGAGGGAGTTAGATTTTTGGTGTGACAATAGATGAAGCGATAAACTTGGAGGTGATAACAAAACTAATCAATCGCCCTGAGCCTTTTTTCAGAGATGTATGTCGGGGTACAAAGTAAAGGGAAGATGCGCTAAGCAAAGCGAGTGTAAGCAATTTTACCCCTTGAAACAAAACTGTGCGTTCCCTGCGCACATACATGCTGGTCGTAAAATTATGCTAATTATTAGCCAACGTCAAAAAAAAGCAAAAGCTAGACCTTCACAATACCACCTGCCAGCTTATTATAATGCTATATGTGTCGAATGGATGTACGCTGTAAAATGCGGAAAAAAAGATAAGTTAAGGAAAAATCAAAAAGAAAGTTCGATCTGTGAGGAATGGCACCATATATGGATGGCGGGACAAAACCGCACC